CAGTATTCGTTTTTAATATATCATATATTTTTTTATTTTATAGGATTTTAGGACTTAACTTGACTTACACTCCTTTCGGACGAGACCACAAAGTTTGTGATGTGATGATATCGGGATGATATAAGTAATTAATGATTAATATATTGCGTTTAACTCGTCGAGTACCGGTTTTGCAGACACAATTATAGAACAATAGGTTGCGGTCACCGGTGACCGCTTGGTGTTTGACAGTTTAATTGACTCTTCGTAAATTCTCAATCCCCATATAATGACGCCTGGTATAGTACCCAGCGTATGCATGAATGTAAACCCAGGGCCGTCTTAGACTCCACTGAGGTCCTTGGGCCCCCAAAAAATAATGTTGAAATGTTTTATTTCTTTTTTTTACTTTGCCCCACACTAGGATTTTCTCCTGTATCGTGGATGCATTTACAAACATACAAGTTCACAATGTTCACATACACATGACACTCAGACCCGAAACAACAGTTTGTGGAGCACACAAAGATTTGCTCCGTGCGGGAGTCAGGAGAAATCAGGTGTCAGGTGTGTGAGGTGTGTCCGTCGTAGAAATTGTCGGTCCTTCGGGGCCCCCTGAACATGGAGGGGCCTCCATGTTCAGGGGGCCCCGAGTGCCCTTATGGTAAAGACGGTACTAGGTAAACCCCATGGATTAAATAGCGAGAGTATGAACTCCTACTCAGTGTGGTTACCAGTCCATGTCCACCGGCCTATATCCAGAATTTGGTCCCTATCAAACTAGTTCGCTGGCTATCTGACCTATTTTATCTACGCTATCTCTGTCACCATATAGGGCTCATTAAAAATGGCCATACATAAGTAGACTCTGCGTTCAATATTATGTGCACTTCTGGCTATCTCTTTATCTAATTTAAATAAACAGGTAGGTATAGAACTCTGTTCACTGAAAATATAAAAAAAATAGTAGGTACTTAGTTAGTGTTACCGACACCAAACATATCATTAAAAAAACTTTGTCTGACGGTATGGACTGGATACTTTTTATCTCGAAAAAGTATATACACTACAACACAGACTTAATTGTACGGCTAATGCCTAAACACGATTACTGTACCAACCGCAAATGCATATTACAGTCCAGTCAAATTAGACCAAAAATAACTTAAAAATTAACCTAGAAAAAACGACGTACATATCTTTTGAACAAAGAACTATTTATAAAAATCTAAATATTCACTACGGTGACCAAAAAATTTATGCAACTGATAACACAAAATTCTTAGGCATAAGTATTGACAAAAACATGACATGGAAAACTCACGTTGAAAATATATGCAAAAAGCTCAGCCAGTACTCGTATGCAATACAACCTAAGAAAAGTGTCAAATCTTCCAACATTAATAATGGCGTATCATGGATATGTTGCATCCACTCTAAGATACGGACTCAAATTTTGGGGCAACTCGCCAAATAAACAAAATGCATTTAAAGCACAGAAAAAGTGTATCAGAGCCATATGCGGCATACAAAATACAGAGAGCTGTAAACCACATTTTCAGCGGCTACAGCTGCTTACGCTTCCATGTCTCTACATATATGAGGTAGCCACTTTTGTTAAAGCAAACCTACACATATATACCCATCCAAAGAGCACACGACACAGACACGAAATATGCATAACACCTCACAAAAAAGCCATATTTAATAACAACATTTTGGGTATGGCACCCAAAATATACAACAAGTTACCAAATGCTATAACTAACATCAGCAGTGTAGACGAGTTCAAAAGGTCCCTACAAGTACACCTGGTAACAAAATGTTACTACTCCATCAAGGAATTTTTAGATGAAAGATGACTGCCTGCTGGATCCGATTTGCATTGGTGGCATTTGTTTTGATTTATATAGGAACAACGAAATTATCAGTAAAACTTTTAGTATGTTGTACCCACTGACTAGGTAATATGACTTAAAAAAAAATGTACTGTTTCACGTTAATCTTGACATCCGCTAATGACTAATTTTAAAATTTTCATCAAGGACATTATCTTTATTTTTATATACATTCGTGACTATTGTAATAATTTATTCGAATGAAATTAATATTAATGACGTTATTAAATTAAATACTTAAATGTTTAACCTAATTTGTATGTGACATATCACAAAACATAGATGGTCAATATTATACCATGAAATGTAACATCCCATTGTACCTATGTTTACAAATAAATATTTTCATTTTCATTTTCATTTTCATTTAAGAGTAGGTAAAGTTACCTATATTCCCACAAAGCTGAAAATCGGTAAGATTGTTTAAAGTATCATTAAAAACAAAATTTGAAAGTTCCCCATCTCTCCCCTGTAAGGAAAAATATTTATAAAAGTAAAAAAAATGTGATTTTCGCGATTTACAGCAAAACGCTAAGTTGTATCATGAAGATACCTCTGACAAAAATTGTAGTAGACCAGAGTAGATAATATTTGAAACCAAAAAAAATTACAGTAGGATGAAACCCATTAGAAAAGGAGGGGAATATGATCAAAATGAAAGGAAAAATAAATTACGGTCGATCCGAGTTCGGGAAGTTGGAGGCGGGGGGGGGTTTAAGGGTAAAAAATGGTTTATCTTGATTTCCGGCAAAACTACAAGTCCTATGGAAAAAAGTTAAATGGCAAAGTTGTAGGCAATAAAAAGATCTACAACTTTTGTATTTGCAGATTTTTCACATAACCTCAAAATTTTGATGAAAAATTCAAAAAACCAAGTTTTTGGTTTTTTATTTATATCTTTTTCAAATAAATTTTATTTTCTACGAAATTTAATGAAAACTTACCTTATTATGTCCCAAATACACTGTAATTTATTTGATTAAAAATATTTATTTTTTCGCTTCATTTTAATTTAATATCAAAAAAGCACCCTAATTTTCAATCGAAAATTCTGACGTCAAAATATCAGCTTTTTTCAAAAAATTTGGGGGGTTTTTGTTCGTTGAAATATCTACTTTCTGATGGTGTAAAGAAAAATATACATTAGGTACTATAGGAAATATTCTTAGAAAATGCAAAAATATGAAAAAACCTCAAATTCGAAAATTTGTTTTTAATCAACATGTACAATTTTGAGGTATTTATTAAAATTTACATTTTAATGACTCAAAAAACGTAAAATTTAATGTTTTATTAATAAACGAAAAAAATACAAATTAAAATATCCTTCTATAATTAACAAACAAATAAGTTCATAAAGTTAATATTTAATAAGACATCTACAATATTTTTAAAAAGTTGTAGAACCTTCTTTAAATAATATTTGTAGTTGCCTAATTATTGCTGTTTTAAGGTAATTTATATACCTGAGTGACATTCTAATTAGTTAAAATTATTATTAATTATTTGGAATTCTAATTAGTTACTCATTCGTTTTTTTCTCTTTGGAGGCATTTCTTTATCGTCAGATTCGACAAATCTTTCCAACCCTAGTTGATCGTCGAAATCTTCAAGACCATCATCTTCGTCTTCAATGTTATTTCCAGTCTGCATTGGTTCTTCATCCATAATTTCATCTGAATCATTTACTTCCTCGTAGATTTTTTCTTCCATATTGGAGCAATTTTCAGAACCATGACAATTAGTGCATAAATTTGTGCATGTTAAACCATGTTTTCGGCAGCCACATTTTAAACTGTTGCATCCAGTTTCACAGCTGCAGCAAATAGTTTTGAGCAATACTTCCGGAATTAAATCCTTTTCTCTAAATTTGGGCATAATGCCATGCTGATGTTGCTTCCATCCCCAATCTGTTGCTGTCAATTCGTTACCCAACCAAGTTTGAAGCTGATAATATGCTCTGTAATAATGTTGTTCTGCTGCTCCTTCTGTGGGTGGGAGGTTTGCCAAAATGAAGGATGATTTAATTTTTGCCAATTGATATTTTTGAAACCTTAATTGATTTAGTGTTATTTTTTCTTTTTTACATTTATAAATAGATTTGATTAATTGTAATCCATTTTTTTTAT